ATTCTTGGTTGGCAGTTTGTTTTCCTTTCAGAGGGTTGTATATGTCATCCCATTGCCTTCTTGCCTGCATGTTTTCTGCCAAGAAATAAGAGCTTAGTCTTACTGGTTCTCCTTTGTAGGTAACTTTCTTATTTCTTGAGCTATTCTCAGGATTCTTACCCTGTCTTTGGTTTTGGAGAGTTTGAGTGTGATATGTCTTACTGTTCTCATTCACCATTCATGCATCTCAGTGTAGGGTGGCTTTGGCTGGTGTTGGCTACTGTCCATCATTGGTCAGGTGGTAGAGGAGCTGGTATTTGCTCATGCTCAGTGGATGGGTTAGATGGGGAAGGTTCCTATCTCCTGTCAGGTGGGAAAGAGTAACACCCTTCCCCCCTACACACACACAAGAAAACATAACAGAATAAACAGACAAGGAGCCAACAATGGAAAGATGAAATAACAAAGAGAAAAATGAAATAAAAACAGGCAGAAACCAGAAAAAAAAAAAAAAATATATATATATATATAATAACTATAAAAACAAAAGAGGGACAGGGAAGTTGAGCTATAGAAGAGAAAAATAAGAGAAAATAAAAGAGGAAAAAACCTAAAAAAATAACAAAAACCAAAAAGCCTTAAGAATAAATAAAAAGACGAAAGAGGGGCAGGGAAATGGAGCTATAGAAAAGAAAAATAAGAGAGAAAATAAAGAGAAACAAAACACTTAGAAAAACTAGGGAGAGGGAAGATGCAAAGAAAAAGAGAGTAGAGCATAGTAAAGAATGATTAATAGGGGGAAAAAAGAAGAGGGGAAATGAGAAAAGGGAAATCAAAGATACAAAAACAGAAACAAAGTAGAGATATAAAGGATAAAAATCAAGGGAATGGAAAGAGAAGGAAGAGGATAAAGAATAAACAAAAACAATGAAACAACAAAAGGAAAACAAAAAAACAGTGTAGCTGTTGGACCCGGAGAGGAGAAAACTTGGGGGAGGGGGGCCGCCTGCAAGCCAGAGAGCTCAGGAGGTGGGTGTGAGAGGGATGTGACAGTGGAGTTCCGGGCCTTAGCTGAAGTTCTATGGACCTCGGCATTATCTATGTTCAGTGCACTCAATCTGGAAGTAGTTTGTGGAGGTCCTTGATGGAGCTGGTGTCAGGGTTATTGGGATCACAGGGAAGCTGGGGGCAGGGTCACTGGTTAGATGCTGACTTGGCGGCTCTGCAGGTTCTGTAGTTCTGAAGCAGAGCCTGTCTGAATCCAGGCACCAGAACGGCATAGCCGGTTCCCACCTCACACTGGTGTGGTTTCCAGCCACATTTCTCTAAGACCTGGAGATCAAGGTCTGCACTGGGGTTGGATGAGGGGATGAGCTGGCCACACCTCTGGTGACCAGGGGAGTGTAGGGAAAAGAAGGAATCACACCTTTCCGGTTGCCTGTATGAATCTTTTCTGCCAGGCCACTTTCTGTTGCACAAGCTGCTCCCAAGAGGGTCACGTCACATCTGGCCACCTTCTCACCACCAGTCGTTCTCCCTCTCACCATCCCTGCCCAGCTTCTCCTCCCAGCAATCACTCAGTACACTTCTCTAACCTTTCTTCTGAAGGCCAGGGTTCCAGGATTTTCATCTGTGTCTGTTTCACTGGGTCTTTCGTATTTTTGTTGTTGGTGTCCTGGTGTGACTTTGTGGGCTAATGCTCTGGATTGCAAAGTCGGTCTGAACCACAAGGGCAGTGGTTCAAGCTCACCAGATGCTCCTTGGAAACCCTATACAGAGTCGTCATGGGTCAGCACCGACTTGACGGCACTTAACAACAACAACAACATCTTTGTTGGAGAGGATCCACGTAGTGTGTCTGCCTCATTTGTCATCTTCTCTGTTATCCCTTGTTCCATTCTCCCACCAACATACACACATATTTTTAAAACAAAAAATGGGATCGTCCTGTGGTATTCTTTTAGGGCTTGCGTTTTTTTCACTTGATGTTTATACACATCTTTCCATATCATTAGCTGTGGGGCACTGTGGGATCAGCACTGGATTGCAAACCACAAGGTCAGCAGTTCAAAACCCACCAGATGCTCCTCAGAAACTGTCTACAGGGTTGGCATGAGTCGGAACTGACTCAAAGGCACTTAACAACAACAAGCAACCTTTTAAATATTTGTATAGAATTCCATTTTACAGCTGTTCTACCATCTTATCAAAGGAGCTCTGGTAGCATTTTTGTTTGTTTGTTAAGTGCCGTCGAGTCGGTTCCGACCCATAGTGGTTACAAATTGAGCTGCCAGCCTTAAGGTCAGCAGTTCGAAACTACCAGCCACTCGGTGGGAGACAGATGAGGCTTTCTGCTCCCATAAAGATTTACAGCCTCAGAAACCCTGTACAGGGCCGCTATGGGTCGGAACTGATTTGACAACACTTAACAACAACAACAATCATCTTATCAATGCCCCGTTACTTGATATTTATGTTGTTTCCAACCTGAACAGCACTACAGTGAATATACTTAAGGCTAAATGTGCACATAGTCATAGTTACATCCTTAGAGCACATTCCTAGCAGTGAATTAAGGAGCTCTGATAGCGTAGTGGTTTACAAATCAGGCTGCTAACCTCAAAGTCAGCAGTTCAAAACTACCAGCTGCTCTGAGGGAGAAAGATGAGGCTTTCTGCTCCCATAAAGATTTACAACCTCAGATATACAGAGTCTCTGTGAGTCTAAACCAATACCACAGCACACCAGCAGCCGCAGTGAATTACTAGCTCTGGTAAAATGTACAAATCAGCCTGGAGACACTCTCACGAGCAGTGCATGAAAGGCCATCTTCCCACAGTATGCCTCCACCCAGACCACCTTCCCACCCAGTTCTCCCATAGGTAAATGCAGGTACTCAGGGATGAGGCCAAGGCCACATAGCCACCATGTACCAGCACCTGAACTTGAATGTAAGCTTCCCGATTCTATATCTGAAGCTGTGTCTGCAGACCTCTGTCTTCCCGTGGCCCTGTGTCCCTCCGAGGTGACCTGAGTGTGGACAAGGGCACATGGTGTATGAGGATCAGGAAGCTGTGCTGCCCAGCTGGAACTGACTTGGTAGCTACTAGCCGGCATGTGTAGTACAGCCCATCTCTCTCCTGCCCACCTGGGTTCATCCGTTGCTGTGGTGGGTGGTCCTCAGCACCCTGAGAGCTTCCCACCTTAGATGCTAGCTTCTATCTGATCCTCCACCTGAAGGCTTTGTCTGCGCCTCTGGTAACTGCTACACCACTGTGGATAGTCCGGGAGCACAAGGAATTCACACCCGCACAGGGCAGCCTTCACCCATAGGCGACAGGAGCCAGCAGTTAACTGTCCAGCCTCCTGTCCTCTAGTAGGACAGTCCTGAGGTGGGTTTAATATAGTTTCTTAGAGAACCTCAAGCAGGACTGAGTCTCAGGTGCCTTCAGAGTACAAGAAAAAGAAGAGGCAGTCTGCTTCAGTAAAGATCCACAGCCTGTGGGCAGGTCTACTGTGGCCTAGAGTCACCACCATCGGAATGGACTCAGTGACCGTGGGCGTGGTTCTGAGGTTACCTTCAGAATAACGAACACACCCCCCTTTTTTTTTTTTTTTTGTGGCTATTCTCCCTCCCCTACCTCACTTTCCCCATCTTCTGACTTCCGGTTCCGGGGATCACCTTCCACTAAAGTACATGTGCCCAAGTCTTGGTCTTAACGTCTTCTTTTAGAGGGTCACCAGCTATCCCCTTCTTCATTATGCTGTTGTTGTTGTTAAGTGCCATCAAGTCAGTTCCGACTCATAACGACCCTGAATAGGGTTTCCAAGGAGCCGCTGGTGAGTTTGAGCCACCAACCTTGCGGTTCAAACCAACCTTGCAGTCCCGTGCTCATCCTACAGCGCCACATCAGGACCCCATGAAATATATAATATATTCCTCATTCTATATATTATACATTTTCTGTATTCACTAAACTACTGGTGACCACCAAGTCCTTTCTGACTCTTGGAGACCTTATGTGTGTCTGAATAGAATTGTGCTCTGTTTGGTTTTTCAGGAGTAGATCACCAGGCCTTTCTTGCAAGGTACTTGTGGGTGGACTTGAACCTCCAACCTCTCAGCTAGTAGTCAAGTGTGTTAACTGTTTGTACCATCTAGGATTCTTTATTCGGTAGGGTAGGCTAGCTGTCATTATAAATAACTACAAGAGGCTTTACTCAGATGCAATAGTTCATGTCTCTGTCACGTGACAGCAGTCCAGAGTGGACTTGGAGTGGACTGGACGGTGGTCTGCTCCACCCAGCGACTCAGGGAACCAGAAGACCACGTGACTTCCCAGGAGATGCCAATTGCCAATGTTTCAGTCGCCCGCAGGGAAACCTCTTCAGGAAGTGCCCAGGCCCTGAGGTTGTGCAGGTCACAGTCACTGGGTGACTGACCGAGTGGTCCTTCGCTGTGGGTGCTGTTGAATTGGCCTCGGGTGACAGAGTAAAACTGGCCCCCCAGGTGCCCTCTCTGCTGTCGTATTTCTGGGAGCAGATCGTTAAGTCTTCCTCCCACAGAGCTGCTGGATGGATTTGAATTGTGAACCCATCAGTTAACATCAACACTTCACAATTCAGCAGCAAAGAGCATGTGTTCTAGGGAACAGTGAGCAGTCTCGGCCACATCCCTCAAAAAAAAAAAAAAAAGATTTTATGCAGTACAGTTTGCTACTTTAAATATAAACCTTTTCGTTTATGATTTCTTTTTTTTTTTTTTTTAAGTTTTTATTGTGAATTATGTGATGATTTACATGGAAGAACAGTATCTTTACATTCATCCTATCATATTTCATTTCACTGCAATGATTACAATCCCCTGCATACATCATCAAACAACCAATGGGTACACCCCGCACACTTGCCCCCAGGGCCATCAGCACACAACCCCCCTCCCTCCCTGAGTCTAGAGTCCCCAAGCGCTCCTTGTCTCCACATCATATGATTTCTTTTTTGTTGTTGTTGTTTAATTTTAGGTAACCGAGGCATCGGTCACCTGCTCTGCAAAGACGAGCTGCTGCGGGCCTCTCTGTCGCTGTCGCATGCCCACTCAGTGCTCATCACCACGGGCTTCCCCACACATTTCACCCACGAGCCTCCGGAGGAGACAGATGGCCCGCCGGGAGCTGTTGCTCTGGCTGCCTTCTTGCAGGCCTTGGAAAAGGAGGTGTCCATGGTTGTTGACCAGAGAGCTCTAAGCTTGCACCAGAAGATTGTGGATGAGGCCGTTGAGCAAGGTGGGCACAGTGAAGTCCTTTGTGGTCTTTGGTGGGTGAGGCTGGAGGGAACTGGTGTTGGTGGAACTTTTGGGGCTAACAGGCACAGTGTTGTCTCCGGATAGGGCATCCTCCTTAAAGCTCACAACAATTTTTTGGTGTCAGCAGTATTATCCTCACTTTGTAGATAAAGAGACTGAGGCTCAGAGAGCTCTAGGTGGTTTCTGAACCCAGATCCACCAGATTCCAAAGCCCATGATCCTGCCTGGGCACTTTCCCCCTCAGAGGTGGTCTCAGCTCCCCGGGTCAGCTCTAGACTACTGGAGCTGGGTGAGGGGTTGTGGAGTGTGTGGAGTGGTCTCCTGTGGTCCACTGAGCAGGATGCTCCACTCTGCCTGGGTCCTGGAGCACCCAGGTGGGTGTGAGGGCTGCAGGTGTTGGTGACCTCTGCAATCCGCTGTCTTCACCCCCTGGAAGCTGCAGGAGTGTCGTTCCTCATAAGCTGCAAGTCCAGTGAACCGATGCTGCTTCCCACTCTGTCTCTCCGATTTGTAGAAAAGTTTGTTCCCTTTTGTGTTAATAAAGGAAGGGCCTCCGCCCCAGGAAGGTGGACCCATTCTACCTGTTATGTTGCAGTGAAGCCGTTCTGCTGGATTAATGTGTATGAAGTACCTACTATGAGGTACCAGGCCTCCCTGGAGAGTGTGGAATGCCTGTTAGACTCTAGCAGGAGCCGAGAAGGCAGTGCAGAGATGATGCAGTTCAGGAGGGCAGTCTGGGCTGGAAAGATAAATTGGAGAGCTCTTGGCATATTGATGGCATTTAAAGCCAGGAGGCTGAATGAGATGAGATCAGTGAGGTAGGAAGTGGAGACAAGCAGAGGGCCCAGAACTGTGCCCTGGGACCCTCCATGAAAGGGAGAGAAGGGGAAGCCTGCCAGGGACCAGCCACTGAAGCATGAGGAAACCAAAGAGCTGGGTCGTCATGGAGTGAAGAAAGTGGTCCTAGAGGAAGGGACGGCCACTATCCCAGACACCAACAGGCCGGCAGCCGCTGCCTGACAGCTGGTTCGGTGGGTGTTATCAGCAGCCCCTTTCCCAGATGGAATTCTGCCCTGGCTGTCCATGTTCCCGCTGGACCCATACTCAGAACCAGGTCATACCCACCCTGAGGCTTGATGCGCTGTTGTTAGGTGCTGTCCAGTTGGTTCCAATTCCTAATGACTCTGTAGAACAGAGTAGAACTGCCCATAAGGTTTAATCCTTACAGAAGCAGACTGTCTTCTTTTTTTCCCATGGAGCTGCTGGCTGGGTTTGAACTGCAAACCTTTCAGTCAGCTAAGCAGGGCTCCTTACATTGTGACCTGGGGGTGGGGTGGGGGGGATGTTCTATTGGGCTTTGCACAGCTTTGATCACATTTGAACAAAGAAAAGTGATTTGGCCTTTGAATGAAAATTATAGAAATTATGTTGGTTCCTTGCATAATGGAGCCTAGGAGTCCTGGTGTGGTACTGTAAGGTAAGCACTGGACTGCTAACTGCAAGGTCGGCAGTTCAAATCCACCAGCCATTCCTTGGAAACCCTCTACAGAGTTGGTATGAGTCAGAACCGACTTGATAGCACTTAACAACAATAACAAAGGATAAGATTGAAAGAGAAAAAGCAGTCATTTCTTCCCTTTCCATGGGACTCAGTAATCTGTGTCCTCCATCCTCCATCCTCCATCCAGTCGTGAGGAAGCTGGAGAGAGCAAGGAGTCCCTGGCTGGTACAAACCTTGACTGAGTGCGCTGCCAACAAAAGGAGGCCTGCTAAGACTGGGCTTTCTTTGTTATGTTAATAAGACCAAATCACCTGGGAGACGTAGAACAGCAGCTAGACACCAAGAAGCAAGCAGAGAAGGGAAAAGGCAGATACCAGGCCAAGAATCAGAAGCTGGAAAGAGAGGAGGTCTTCCTCCAGGGCCAACCCAGAGAGAAAGTCTTCCCCAAGAGTGGGCACCCTGAATATCTGGAGTCCTGGCGTGGCACTGTGGGATAATGCAGTGGGCTTCAAGGTCATTTTGAACCACAAGGTTAATGATTCAAACTCACCAGCCACACCTTGGAAACCCTATGCAGGGTCTCTATGAGTTGGAACCGACTCAATGGCACTTAACAACAACAACAAAAACTGTGAGAAGCACTGGACTGCTCACCACAAGGAGTGACTGGTGAGTTTGAACCGCCAACCTTATGGTTCAAACCGACCTTGCGGTCCAGTGCTTATCCCACAGCACAATAGGAGTAGTGGCACCAATCCATACGCTTGGTTTTGCCCAAGTTATTTATCGGTTCTGGGCCTCAGTTTTCCTCCTCTGTGAAATAGGGTTAATAATGGTTCTTGTGTCATAGAATTGTTATGACAAGTAAATGCTAAACACTTAGCAAAGGGCTGGCACACTGTCATCGTAGGCCCAGGAATATGCACCAGCTCTCACGATGGCAGCAGATCAGGCAGACCTTCCATTACCTGTGTGTTATGGGCATCTGCCATGTAGCTTATTTCCTGAGTCATACTGTTGGTGCCACGAACCCTGATTCCTCTCCCTATCCCCAGCTCTAAGGTCTACTCAGTATCAACAGTAACCACATGAAATACCACATGACTGTCCTCTGTGTTGGAAGTGTTGGCTTACCTGTATTCTACATGTAGACATTACTTGAGGATAGTAACATGCTTTCCAAAGGAGCTTGGAAAGGTCAACATACGTTTCCAAAATTCAACAGTAGAACTGATGTGTCTACCTTTTACCTTTATTACAGGTGTTCTGAAGGCCCCGATCCCGTTATTAACATATCGGGGTGGATCAGCAGAAGCCGCTCAGGATTTCCTGCACAAAGATGGGGACCCCAAGTCACCTAGGTACGTCTGTCCCATCCTGGCTTTGTCATGTGGTGGTGAAAAAGCTCACATGCTGCCAACTTTACCAACCAAGTTTCTTTTCGGCTTAGCCCTCTAGAAGGAACAAAGCCAGGAATAAAGTTGCTAATGTAGCCAACTAATAATTGAGGCTAAGGGGATCTCAGGATGTGCTGGGGACTTTGCAAAGGGTTGACAGGGAGAAAAGCCATGTCTTCCTGCTAAAGGGAAGTGGCTGGGCTTTCCTGAGCCCGGGGAAGCTTTTTATCCCCCTCAGTGAAGTCCTGGGGTGGCATTGTAGCATCAGCGCTGTACTGCAAATCACAAGGTCGGTGGTTCAAGCCCACCAGCTGCTCCTCAGAAACCCTACACAAGGTGGCTATGGGACCACACCCTCAAGGGACCTCTCCTTACTTGAAAGGCAGTACCAGGGTGGTGACAAGTCAGAACCTCTGGTAAGATGGTGATTCAGATGTAACCCACCCAAATCTTACCTCATTAACGTAACTCCAAAGCGAGGCTGTAACCACAGGCATGGAGGCTGGGATTTGTAACACATCATCAAACAGGACTGCGGCTAACAACGAAACAATACCACTACCATGGAGTCATTCGACTCATGGCGACCTTGTAGAACAGTGTAGAACTACTCCCTAGGGTTTCCGAGGTTGTAAATCTCTACAGAAGTAGACTTCCTCGTCTTTCTGTCATGGAGTAGCTGATGGGTTTGAACCACTGACCTTTCAGTGAGCAGTCCATTGTGCCATCAGGCCTCTTGGACCATGTCTGGTTGGTTGATTGTGTGCTTACCAAGTCAGTTCTGACTCACAGTGACCCTGTATAGAGTTTCTGAGGCTATAAATCTTTACAGGAGCAGAAAGCCTCATCTTTCTCTTATGGACTGACTGGTAGATTAGAACTGCTGGCCTTGCGCTTAATAGCCCAGCTTGTAATCCATTACAGTGTTATTGTTGTTATTGTTAGGTGCCATCGAGTTATTACCGATTCATAGTGACCCTATGCACAACTGCCCAGTCCTGGGCCAACCTCACAATTGTTGCCATGCTTGAACGCGTTGATGCTGCCACTTTGCCAATCCATCTTGCTGGGGTCTTCCTCTTTTTCTCTGACCCTCCACCTTAACCAGGGCTAGATTAAGTAATTTACTGCACCTCAGGGGGACGTCTGATGCTGGGGAACAGAGATTATTCCAGTTTCTGAGTAGAGGGGGCTTGAGCCTGACCCCACCATGGGAAAAAAGCTCCAGTGTTTGGAGAAGATATGCTACTTTTTCCCGAGGAACGGCCTTCAGATGAGTGAATTGCCTGCTGCTTTAGCTAAATGGACTCTTCCGGGCTTGAAAAATCAATCCACTCCAATCAAGTATGTAATTGAGTTTTCCCTAAGGGGAAGGCCCGTGACCAATGTTCTCCCTTCAGAACAGAAGGACACACTGATCCCAACTGGTGCACTTGTTTGAAACTGCCTTTTCATCACCACAGAACTGGGCAGTGTTTTGTTTTGTTGGGGATTCAGGTGACATGTCCCTGTTTTCTGGTCTCTCTACTTCTCACGGGCCTGTCTTTTCCTGCTCTGGAAATGGTCTCAGGATTATGTTCTGAGACCTCTTCACTGGCCTACTCATTCCAGATATATGTGATGCCGTCATATTCTAGGACAAGCAAAGGGCAGGGACAGGCACATCGATTTTTGTTTGTTTATTTTAACAATGTTTGCAGAAAAAACATTCAGACTTAAGAGTTTAAAGAACTTTATCATGAGAGAATCAAATTGTACCATGTTTCCATGTTCTTAAATTAGATAACAAAATAATGTTTTCTGTCTATAATAATAGTATCATCAACAACTAATATGTACTGGCCACTGAATAGCCAGGCTCAAAACCAAGCACCTTACCTATATTTTCCCGTTGAATCCTTTCAATAACTATGAGATAAAAACAACCGGTTCTGGGGTGGGGGGGCAAGCTTATAGGATATACCCTTTGGTTGATGATGCATGGAGGGGATTGTAACCATGGCAATGAAATGATATACGATAGGATGAATGTAAAACTAATGTTCTCCCATGTAAACTATCACATAATTCACAAAAAAGCATTTAAAAACAACAACAAAAAAAAAACACAAAAAACGGTTTTGACTCACAGCAACCTCCTTTGCGTCAGAGTGGAACACTGTTCAAGAGGATTTTCATTGACTGAATTTAAAATAAATTGCCAGGCCTTTCTTCCAAGGTACTTCTGGGTGGACTCAAACCTATAACCTTTGGTTAGCAATCAAGTGCTTAACTGTGCCTCCCAGGACGGTGTTGGGAGCTGTCATTGAGTCGCACTCACAGTGACCTGTATAACAGAGTAGAACTGTCCCCAGAGGACTTCGTACGCAGAACTCTTTACAAGGGCAGATCGCCAGGTCTTTTCTCACATGGAGCGGCTGGTGAGTTCAACTGCCACCTTCCAGTTAGCAGCTGAATGCCTACTCATTGAGCCACTGAGACTTTTTAATGTCTGAGATGTTGTTAGGTGCCATTGGATGGGTTCTGACTCAGAGATTCTCTGTACAACAGAGCAAACACTACCTTAGTTCTCAAGTGCTACTATACCAGAAATATCACAAGGGGATGGCTTTAACAAACAGAAATTTACTTTCTCACAGTTTAGGAGGCGAGAAGCCCGAATTCAGAATGTCAGCTCTGGGTAAATGTCCTTGTCGCCTTTCAGTATCTGTAGGCCCTGCCTTCCTCGTTGTTGTTCTTGTTAGGTGCCGTCAAGTCAGTTCCGATTCATAGTGACCCTGTGCACAACAAAACAAAACACTGCCCAGTTCTGCACCATCCTCACAATTGTTACATTTGAGCCCGTTGGTGCTGCAGCTGTGTCATTCCATCCTGCAGGGGTCTTCTTCTTTTTCGCTGACCCTCCACTTTACCAACCATGATGCCCCCTTCTTCAGGGTCTGATCTCTCCTAATAATAACACGTTCAAAATATAAAAGATGAAGTCTCGCCATCCTGGCTTCTACAGAGCATTCTGGCTGTATCTCTTCCAACACAAATTTGTTTGTTCTTCTGGCAATGTGTGGTACTTTTAATATTCTTCTCCAACACCATCATTCAAATGCCTTGATTCTTCTATGGTCTTCCTTATTCATTGTCCAACTTTCACGTATATGTGAGGTTACTGAAAATGCCTTGGCTTTGTTGAGGCGTACCTTAATATTTTTGCTCTTGAACACTTTGAAGAGGTCTTGTACAATAGATTTGCCTAATGCAATATGTCGTTTGATTTCTTGACTGCTGCTTCCATGAGTGTTGATTGTGGATCCAAGCAGAATGAAATCTTTGTTAACTTCAGTCTCTTCTATATTTATCATATTATTAGTCCAGTTGTGAGAATTTTTGTTTCCTTTACCTTGAGGTGCAATCTGTACTCAAGACTGTGGTCCTTGATCTTCATCAGTAAGTATTTTAAGTCCTCTTCACTCCCGCAAGCAAGGTTGTATCATCTGCATATCTCAGGTTGTTAATGAGTCTTCCTTGAGTCTTGATGCCATGTTCTTCTTCATATAATCCAGTTTCCCAGGTTATTTGTTCGGCATACAAACTGAATAAGTATGGTAAAAGAATACAACCCTGGTGCACACCTTTCCTGACTTTAAACCATGCATTGTCTCCTTGAAGATCTCTTATGTCTTGATTTACCATGACTTGGGTCAGAAGCCCCTTAGTGCCCCCTGGGTCTAGGAGCTTCACAATTCAGGGACCCCAGGCCTAAAGGATACACCCCACCTCAGGATCGTTTTATTTTGTGGTTGTAGTTCCATCCTTCTCTGCTTACTTCTCTTGTAAGATAAACGGTCTTGTAGCCCACATCCCCAAACAAACTTCCTTTCAATTGATTTTTCCTCCTAGTGGGAGTGGTGACATTATATTTAGATGTCACCATTGGGGATCACTATATCTTAACTGCTAAACCACTGAGAATCCTGGCCCAGTCTAGTGGGTACAGAACCATAAGTGTCACACTGTCCTGCTCCGCACCAACCTCACCTTCCTTCCTGTACTTAAGCCAATTGTTGCATCCATCTCGTTGAGGATCTTCCTCTTTTTTTTGACCCTTTACCAACTGTTACTAACACCACTTTACAGTTGCAGAAGTTAAGCAGTTTGCCCAAAACCATTCACAGGAGGATCTGGCATCTGAACCTGTTGCTGTTAGGTGCTATTGAGTCGGTTCCAACTCATCATGAGCCTATGTATATCAGAACGAAACATTGGCCAGTCTTGTCACATCCTGACAATTATTGTTATTTAGGATCCCATTGTTGCTGCCACTGTGTCAGTCCATCTCATTGGAGTCTTCCTCTTTTTCACTGATGATCCACTTTACGAAGCATGATGTCCTTCTCCAGAGATGGGTCCCTCCTGATAATATATCTGAAGTATGAGAGATAAAGTCTTGTTATCCTCACTTCTAGGAAGTATTCTGGCTGCACTTCTTCCAAAACAGATTTGTTTGTTCTTCTGGCATTTCATCATGCTTTCAGTATTCTTCACCAACACCGTAACTCAAATGTATCCGTTCTTCTGCAGTCTTACTTACTCGTTGTCCAACTTTCACATGCACATGAGGTTATAGAAAATACCATGACTTGGATCAGAAGCCCCTTAGTCCTCAAAGTGATCTTTGTTCTTGAGCACTTTAAAGAGGTCTTGTGCAGCACATTTGCCTAATGCAATACGACCTTTGATTTTTTTTTAAAGTTTTTGTGAGGTTTACGTGGGAGAACATCAGCTATACACTCATCCTATCATATTTCATTTCATTGCAATGATTACAGTCCCCTCCATGAATCATCAAATAACCCCAAAGGGTACACCACACAGGCCTGCCCCCCCCCACCAGCCACCAGCACACAGCCCTTCTCCCTCCCTGAGTCCATTGTCCCCAGCCACTCCATCTGTCCACATCATCATCTCTG